AAGACCTACGTCTTGATATTTTTTCCAATACGCTGGATCTCTGGGGTGGGGGAGGGGGGATCGGCTCCCACGCTGCTCTGCTCCGACGCGGGGCGGTGGCGTGGCCATCACCACGGCCGGAGGGGGTCCGCGCCAATGGGGGCCTCGGCGGGCGGAGGACGCGGGCGCGGCCGGGGCTCCCCCAGGGCCCGAGGGCAGAGCCACGGCCTCTCCGCCTGCCGAGGCCCCCGACGACCAATCCCCGCGCGTGGCAGCTGTGGCCGCAGCCCCGCCGCGGCGCCGAGGCGTTCGCTCACGAGGGGGCGCGGCTCGCCGTGGCGGCAGGCGCCCGCCAGAGCCTGCCGGGACCTCTGGAGCAGGCTCGGGCACGCCTCTCTTCGACCCGCCCTCCTCCACCGTGGAGCCCACGTCTCCGCAGCTCGCGGGAACGCCCGCAAAAGGGGCCCCGCCGCCGCCCTCCCCCGGCCACGTCACGACTCGCGCCGACGCCGTCCGGGACTCAACGCTTCCGAGGCGTGCCCAGACGGCGGCGGCGCCAAGCGCGACGCGACTGGCCCCATTCCCCCCCCTTTCCCACCCACCCCCCAATTGTCACGGCCGTCGTCGCCAAGGGGGGGGGTATGGGCTCGCACCGCGGAGCGCCAAGACATGAGCCCACATGTACCAGGAGGCCGCCGCACAGTCCGCACGCCCGAGGGGTCGCCAGCCAGCCGCGGCCAGGGGCTCGAGCCTCTGGCTTCCAGAGGGGGCCTGCAGCTTCGGCAACGCGCAGGTTTTTGGGCGACCCTGTGGACCCTCAGCGGCACCAGCACTTTCAATCCGAAGGGTTCTCGCCGTCCACTTTGGCAGCCAGGCCCACGGATCGGAAGCTTTGGGAGAGATCTGAGTAGACAGGAAGCCCGACATTCAGTTTGACGACCCACTGGGGTGCCCAATCCATCGCCAACGCCCAAGCTCTCCAGCCAGGCCGCGCGCGGCTGAGGCCGCCACAGTTCAAAGGCCGCCTGGCCCGCCGCAGCCTCAGCACCCGCCCCGCGCCAGCGAAGGCGGCGGGAAATTACACTACCGAGGGACCCCACATAATTAGGCTAATCATTGCGTAATCACTTAGCACGCACGACGCATCCTAAAGTCTGCACGTACATTGTGAGCGCTTTTTCAGATTGTCACCCAACGCACCATTGCTTGAACCTCTCCCCTCCCCCCCTGTCCCCCAGCGGGGCACGTTGCGAAGTGGCCACCGAGCCCCCCCCCCTCCTGCTGCTTCATCCCTCGCCCCCCCCCTTCCGCCTTACATCGGTAAATGTTTCCTGTCGAATTTCGCGCGCGCGCCCCCCCCCCGATGTCTCCTCGACGGAGAGTATCCGAGCTGCGCGCGCAAGGACACGGCGACCAAACATGAAACCGTCGGCACACACCAGCGGGAGCGAAAATATCTGGGCCACGGCTAGCATGAAGAAGCAAAATGGGCGGGCACTGCGAAGTCAGCTAGGAGCGGCGCGAGCAGCGCGACGTCCACGCGGCTGGACAGCGCATGGTGACGCCACCGCGTGGCCAGAACCGCCCGAGAGGCCTCCAAGATTGCCCGACGAGGCTCCGAAGAGAGCCTCAGGCGGCCAAGGCGGCCCAAGATGGCCCCAAGATGTCCCACGATGGCCCCAAGACGGCCCAAGATGCTGCCAAGACGGCCCATGAGGCCTCCAGGAGGCCTCCAAAGAGGGCCGCACGAAGCAAAAATCAACGATTTTCCTAACGTTTTTGAAGGTTGTTGGCCTTCTCGCCTGTCCAGCTTACGGACCAAGAGGTTCCCAAGATCGCCCCACGACGGCCCTAGAAGCCCCCACGACGGCCCAAGACGACCCCAAGCAGCCGAAGAGGGCCCCAAGACGGTCCAAGAGGCTCCCAAACGAGACCCATGAGGGAGTCCACGAACCGAAAACTCTACGTTTCCGCCCCGAGAGGGCCCCAGGAGGCCCCAAGAACATCCCCAAAGGCCGCAAGAGGCTCCCAAGAGGCCGCCAAGAGGCCCCCAAGAAGACCCCCAAGAAACCCAAAATATTGTTTCCAAGAGGCCCCGAGGAGACAGACCCCCGAGAAGCCCCAAGGAGACACCCAAGAGGCCCCAAGCGCAGCCGCCTGAACTAGTAATAGGGGGGCCGGCGGCAATGGGCGAAGCCCTGAAGTTTATATATATATATATATATATATATATATATATATATAAAAATGTGTGTGTGTATGTATATGTATATGTGTGTATGTGTGTGCGTCTATGTATATGTGTATATATATATACATATATAAACATACATACATACATACATACATACATACATACATACATGCATACATACATACATACATACATACATACATACATACATACATACATGCATGCATGCATGCATACGTGCATGTGTACGTATATACATACATACATACATACATACATACATACATACATACATACATACATACATACATACATACATACATACGTACGTACGTACGTATATACGTACATACATACCGATCGACCTATCTATATATCGACCTATATACCTACCTACATACCTGCCTACATACAGACAGACGTACATTACATTGCATTACATTACGTCACACCACGTTGCATTATATTACATTAGATTACATGCATGCATGAATGCATACATACATACATACATACATACATGCATGCATGCATGCATGCATGCATACACACACATGCATACATACATACATACATACATACATACATACATACATGCATGCATGCATGCATGCATGCATACATACATACATACATACATACATACACACACATACACACATACATGCATACATGCATGCATGCATGCAGGCAGGCAGGCAGGCAGGCAGGCATGCATACCTATCTACCTACCTACCTACCTACCTACATGCATACATACATACATACATACATACATGCATACATCTACGCAAATATCTGTACACATATACAGATTACATATGTATATATATATATATGTATATCCAGTCGCGGCCTTGTGCGAAGCGTCGAGGCGGAGAAAAATAAGATAAGTGAAATGCAATGGCCAGGGCGCACACACACACACACAAACACCTCTCACACACACACACACACACACACACACACACACACACACACACACACACACACACACGCACACACACACACACACACACACATTCGCCAGAGCTAGGACCCCTCCCCTCCAGCCCCTCAAAAGACTCCTGCCCCTCCTCTTGAACTAGGTCCCCGCACCCCCCTTCCGGCGAGAACCCCCCACCTTGCTCGCCAGCATCTAGCAACGAAGACGACGCTAATGCTCACGCTGACGGCCCGGTCGACGAAGACGACGACGACGACGACCACCACCACCACCACGACGACGACGACGACGACGACGACGACCGAAGACCGACAACCGACCCCCGATGACGACGACGCGGGTGGGGCATTCAAAGCGTCTAGCGCGCCAGGCGAGCGAGACAGCGAGGCGGGCGGGTCGGTCGGGCGGGCAGGACATCGAAGCGGGCGAGCGGGCGGTGCAGCAAAGAGGGGCGGGTCGATCGGACGGGCGTGATATTTCGGGCGTTGCTAGAAGTACCCCTGGTCCAAGGTGCCCCCAGCTTTTAGCACCATTTGGGAGCCGCTGGGGCCCTCTGGGCCTCGTGAGGGATGCTCTGAAGGCCGTCCGGGCCACCCCGAGAATCCTAGGGGCACCCTGGGCCAGGGGTACTTCTAGCAACACCCGAATATTGAAGCGGGCACACAGGCAGGGCATCGCATAGAAGCTTCGCTCGTTGACGGGGCGAGGCTGGTGGAGAAGACACAAGGGAGAGCGACAAAATCAAAGACGACGACGGGGACTGGCGGGACTTTGAAACGAACCGGGGGCGGGACATGAAATCGAAAACTCGGGCGTTGATACGACAGGGCCGTGGGAAAGAAAGTAAGGAAAGGCCAGCGACAGCGCTGGCGACGGACGGAGGGAGGAGGAGGAGGAGGTGGAGGAGGACCACGGGGAGGACGGCGGGGAGATTGAAGGGGGCGGTGGAGGGAGAGGTGGAGGCAGAGGGAGGAGAGGTAAGATGTAAGAGGGAGGAGAGGTAAGAGGATAGGTACGAGGGTGCTGGAGAGCTGGACGGGGGGCGAGGAGGGGGAGGCGGGCGCGAAGAGGGAGGGCGAGCACCGCAGGTGCCAAGGACCGCTGCTCGGAGCCTGGCCTCCTCGTGCTCCTCCTCCTCCTCCTCCTCCTCCTCCTCCTCCTCCCTCCTCTCCTCCTCCTCCTCCTTCCTCCCTCCTCCTCCTCCTCCTCCTCCTCCTCCTCCTCCTCCTCCTCCTCCTCCTCCTCTCCTTCTCCTCCTCCTCCCTCCTACTCCTTCTCCTCCTCCTCCTCCTCTCCTCCACCTCCTCCTCTCCTCCTCCTCCCTCCTCCCTCATCCTCCCTCCCCCCCCTCTCCTCCTCCTCCTCTCCTCCTCCTCCCTCCTCCTCCTCCTCCTTCCTCCTCCTCCTCTCCTCCTCCTCTCCTCCTCCCCTCCTACCCTCCTCCTCCTCCTCCTCCTCCTCCTCCCTCCTCCTCCCTCCTCCTCCTCCTACCTCCTCCTCCTCCTCCTCCTCCCTCCTCCTCCTCCTCCTCCTCCTCCTCCTCCTCCTCCTCCTCCTCCTCCTCCTCCTCCTCCTCCTCTTCCTCCTCCCTTGCTCAGCGTGCCGCGGCGGCCGCCCTGGCGATATGCTCTGCCCTGCGAGCGGATAGCGTGTCGGTCCGCTCCGTGGGGTGGGGGGGTGGGAAAAAACTCGAGGCGCTGGAGCCTGGGGACTGAGAAGAGGATAGCGTGTCGCGCCCAAGCGTGGTGGACCAGAGCCAGCGGAGCGACGCGCTATCCAAGACTTCCCGATCGTGCAACCAGCCATAACTGGGCTCATCTTGGGCCCAAGATTAGCTTGGCAAGAATCGGTGCAAGCGGATCGATAGCGTCCTCTCACGTACTTTTGTCACCTGGAATGTCGAGAGGAGGCTATGTCGCACAGAAGATCAGCACATCTACAGCAGTGAGTGGCCAACTCTGGATACAAACCAGTTCGAGCAGCGAAACGCACAGCGCTGGCGCAGTGAAATTGAGGAGGAAGAGGAGGAGGAGGAGGAGGAGGAAGAGAAGGCGAATGAGAGAAAAAGGACAACAAGGAAAGGCATTCCCTCACCTCGGGCAACGAGAAGTGACGCCTCCCAAGAGGAGGGCGTAGACAGAAGCGAGGCCATGGATGCTCGGAGGCGCACCGTGACAAACTTTGTACTAGGCAGAGTAACCAACTGAGGCCGTTCGGTTGCCAGGCCCTGGGCACTCTGAGAGCGCACCGCGGCTTCTCGAAGGAGCCGGCTGACGCTGTGCCAGTCGCCATGCCCTGCAGGCGGTGGGTGACAGAGACCAAAGTGAAAAAAGAGAGGCTAAAAGAAGACAAGACGACATGAGCATAAACACTCAAAGGTCGGCTCTGATTTCTTGGACGGCACTTCGCTGGGTCACCCTCCCTGGCGCGCAGAGCGCGCCGTAGGTGGCGCCGAAGGCACCGCCAGGGGGGCCCAGCGCAGACCCGAGAAACTCGAGCATGTTCTTGTTGAATGGGGAGAACCAGCAGCTGTCATCGTGAGGTGCCGCTCCACTCTGGCACCGGGTGGCCCGGAAAAAGCGGCGGTCTGAACGACCACCGGCATGAACCACCTGAGCAGGCAACGAGCGCAGCGGACGGCTCGGTTGCGACCGCGCGATGCTTTCTCGCTGCGCCCGCAAGGACATGAGCGCGACCGCCAGCGCTGCGGCCCACCCCCTGCCACACGTGGCCGATCTCGGCAGCGGCGGCCGAGACGAGGCCTGCGCTCGACTAGCGACCCCAGCGGCTCAGCGCCGACTGCACGGCCGCCACTGGCACCGTCGCCTGGTGCAGACCCGGCTGGTAGCGCGCCGTGCGCAGGTACCGGGGGCTGAGAGAGCTGCTGGCAGAGGAAGAAAAACGCTATAACATAACCTATTGGCGCTCCGCGCGGCTTTCTTGGATCCGCGCCGGACCCCCCTCCCTGGCGCGCGGAGCGCGCCAGGGGCGGCGCTGGAGGCGCCGCCGGGGGTGCCCAGCGCGGATCCCAAGAGATCCGCGCGGAGCGCCAAGAGTTTATGGCTACAGCGCTTTTTCTTCTTCGAGCTGGGGCTGCTGTCCTGGGTCGCGCCCGCGCCCCGCCCGCCCTCCGCCTGGGCTGCCCGCTGCAGCGGCGGCAGGCTGGGGGCCCCCGAGGCGGCCTGCGAGGCGGCCTGGGCGCCGCTGGCGGCGGGCTGCTCGCTGAGGAAGAGGCCTGCGCAGCTGCCGCCCAGGCGAAGCTTCTGCGGGCCCAGCCCCTGGCCGAAGATCGACCCGCGGGCGCTGGCGCTGGCCGGCTGCCCCTGCCGAGGGGCCGCCTTGGAGCATCGTCGAACCGATCCCTGCCCCCGCGGGCGTGGCCTGGGCCACACTGGCCGATTGGTCCCCCGGGATGGGGGTATGGGCTGTTCCCCTCGAGTTTCGAGGGGCATCTCCCCAACTGGGGTGGCGGGATGGCGGGGGTCGGGATGGGGATGGGGATGGGGATGGGGACGGGGATGGGGATCGGTTAAACGATGCTGAGCCTTCTCCAGGCCTCTGTCCGCGCCGAAGCTGCCGCAGGTCATGCTCAGGCGCAGCTTCGGCAGCCGCCGCGGCGTGGAGGTGGTCGCCGCTTCGTCGGGGTCCGAGGCGCGCTGGCAGGAGCTCTCCGCAGTGCCCCCGGCAGCCGGCAGCTGTTGGGCGACCACCTGTACGCACCCCTCGAAGAAGGGATGCTGCAACACCTGAGCGACGCAGAGAAGCGGGCCTCGAGATGCCACGGCGAACTGGCGCGGCGGCTTACGCAGGCCGCGCGAGGGCACCTGCGCGCGACCTCGCGTGGGCAGCTTGCGCGCGAATGTCCGCGCAGGGGCCTCCGCTCTTCTGCCTCGCTCGCCTTGCTGGCGTTGGGGCGCCGGCCCGGGTCCCACTGCAGCAGCTCGGCCGCGAGGCACAGGCCGTTGGGGCTGCCCTGCGGGAGCAGCACCTCCAGCGCCGTCGGCGTCATCTGCGGGAACTTGAAGCCCATCTGCCCAGCGAGCTTGTGGCCCTCGGGCCACTGCGCCTGCGTGGGAGTCCCCAGCACCGAGCAGATCTTGAAGAGCTGGTCGGGCTCGGAAGTGCCCGGCATGAGCGGGCGCATGGCGTACAGCTCGGCCATGATGGCACCCACAGCCCACATGTCCACCGGCGAATTGTAGCACCTGCTGCGCAACAGGAGTTCGGGGGCTCGGTACCAGCGCGTGGAGACATACTCCGTGAATGGGGGCCGAGCACGGATCTCACGTGCGAGCCCGAAGTCAGCCAGCTTCACTACTTCCCCGCTCACGAGCAGGTTGTCTGGTTTGAGATCCCTGTGGAAGTAGCCGTGCTTGTGCACATGCTGTACGGCCTGCATCGTCTGGAACATGAAGCTGCAGATTTTGCTCTCTGGCAGCGATCGCCCTTTGCTCACCTGGGCCTTCATGTACTCGTACATGTTCGCCTCGCAGAACTCAAATACGAGGTGCAGCTCGTCATTCTCTCTGATGACCTCTTTCAGCTTGACTATGTGGGGGTGTACAAGCTTCCGCAGAGAGTTGATCTCCCGAAGCTTCATGCACTCCTCCCAACTGTGGTATTTCTGCTTCATCTTCTTGATGGCCACCAGCTCCCCGTTCGTCTTGTTCCGCGCCCGCAGCACCGACCCATAAGAGCCGTCGCCCAGAGCCTTCCAAGGGACTCATATCGACCTCGACAACGCCGACTCCCACAGGAAAATCGGCTGAAGAATGCTCTCCGGACCACCCCGAAAAAGCCGAGTTACCCCACCACACTGAGAAAGTGATCAAACCCCCCTACCCCCAGAACCCACGAGGACGCCCCCCAAAACGCACCAAAACCGTCCTAAACGCCAGATAACATCAATCCCTCGACCGTCGACTGCAGGCTGGCGTCCCCTGCACAACATTTGGAGCGCCCTTTTCTTGGGACCTCCTTGAAGCCCTCTTGGGGCTCCTTCCTGGCGTGGGCCTTCCAAAACCGCCCCCGATGACGCGCCGACCCTGAGATCCGACGTCGCGAAAAAATTGCAACAGCGCGGAAAATCACGACCGAAGCCCTACAGATCCCATCTTCCTGCGGCACTCGTCGAGCCGGATCGATCTGTGATGGCCCTGGGGCCCCGAAAACGGGGCGAAAAAGCGCCCGCTGTGCAAAATTTGCGGCGCCCAGCTCCCAGGGACCGCCGATCCCAGACCCCCGACGTCGGGGCTTTTCTTCGCGACGTGGAACCCCAGAGGTCTCGACCCACGCCCCAGGACCGGCTCTCCATCCTGCGTCGCTGCTCCACGGTGCCCGGCAAGGGCCCCCCGGAAGCCGAAAACTGAACGGCCGACGAGCCGTCCGTCGTGAGCTCCTCACCACGCGAGGAGGAGGAGGAGGAGGAGGAGGACGAGGACGAGGAGGAGGAGGAGGACGAGGAGGAGGAGGAGGAGGAGGAGGAGGAGGAGGCGGAGGAGGAGGAGGAGGAGGGGCGCGGCCTCCCTCGGGCCTTGCGCGGAGAGGCCGAGGCGAGGCGGGCCCGAGGCGAGCCTTGGTCACCTCGTACCGGTTCATGGCCCGCCGGCGGCAGCGGCCGCGGCCAGCGCGCGGGCGCCCCGGCCCGAGGCCCGCATCGGCGCCGGGCGGGGCGCGCGCCGCCAGCCCACGGGCGCGGGGGGCGCGCGGGACGCCGCCGAGGGCGCGCGCCGGCGGCGCGCGGGCTCGAGGCGGCACGGCGGCGGAGGGCGGCCTCGAGGCGGCTCTGGAGGGGTCGAGGGCCTGGGGGGGCCCTTGGGGGCGCCTCGGGGGCCCTCGGGGCCCCTCGAGGGAGGCCTCCCGAGAGGAGCCTCTGGAGGGGAGGCCTCAGCGGAGGCCTCAGCGGAGGCCTCCGGGAGGCCTTCCGGGAGGCCGCGGCAACGTCGTTGCCTTCTGGCCTGTGGCGCCGCGGCTGCCAAATCCCGCCTCGAAGTCCCAGGCAGACCGCGCCGCAGCGTCGGACGAGGGTGGTGATGATGATGGTAATAACAGTAATACTGGCCATGATGGTGATGATGATGATGATGATGATGATGATGATGATGATGATGATGATGATGATGATGATGATGATGATGATGATGATGATGATGATGATGAGATGATGATGATGATGATGATGATGATGATGATGATGATGATGATGATGATGATGATGATGATGATGATGATGATGGTGATGTGATGGTGGTGGTGGTGATGGTGATGGTGATGGTGATGGTGATGGTGATGGTGGTGGTGATGGTGATGGTGATGGTGATGGTGATGGTGATGGTGATGATGGTGGTGGTGATGATGGTGGTGGTGGTGGTGATGGTGATGGTGGCAATGATGATGTTGCTTATGATACTGCTGCCAATGGTGGTGATGATGATCAGGACCATTGATCATGACCATGGCCATGATCATGATAATGACAATTGATAATAATGATGGTCATGACGGTGATGGTGTTGCTGATGATGATGGTAGTGATGGTAGTGTTAGTGATGGTGGTAGAGGTGATGATGACAACGACGACGGCGATGACGATGCCGATGATGATGCTGATGATGCTGATGAGGATGGTGGTGGTGGTGATGATGGTGATGTTGATGCCGATGGTGATGATGATGGGATGTGATGGTGTTGATGGCGGCAGCGATGGTGATGCTGATGGTGATGATGACCCAAGTGCCCGCAGGGGGTCCGCTCACCGCGCCGGCCCCCTCGAACTGCGCCTGCCGTTGCGCCTCCGCTCCCGGCGAGCACGGCGCCGCCTCGAGAGCGGGCTGCCCTGCCCCCTCCCCCTCCAAGGTTAAGTCGGGCCTGTCCCCCTACAGGGGGATTGTCGACGAAGAATTAGAAGTACCCCAAAAATAATCCAAAAATTGTCTAAAAATAGTCTGGGGGGCTATTTTTAAAAATATTTGTTGGCCTTTTTAAAATATTTTGGGGGTACTTTTTATTTTTCGTCGAAAATCCCCCTGTAGGGGACACGCCCGACATAACCCCGAGGCTGGCCGGCGAGACCTGGCAAGGGAGGCCGACGGAGGCCGAGCGAGACCCCGCACGCCCAGGGAAGGCCGCGCCCCGCGGACCCCCTCGCGTCGTGGAGAAGATCGCGACGGACGGTCCTCTTAGGAGGCAGCTACTGGGAGGTCTTCGTCGGAAGGATTAAAGAGAATCAAGCCCCATTTGGAAGCTGTTACGCCGGAGTGGGCCTCGGACTAAGCAGGACTAAGCCGGATTAAGCGGGATTAAGCGGGATCAAGCCGGATTAAGCGGGATTCAGCGGGATTAAGCCGGATTTCGGACCAGGGCGAAAACAGAATTTGACCTCCCAGGAGTTGCATCCGAAGTCTTCCGATGTCTTCGGCCTCCGGGAGCCCTTTCCAGGCTTCGGGAACGCGAAAAGGCACAACTCGGGATGGGGAGCCGGTCCCTGTGGAGCGGTTCGAGGCCTCCAAATTCCCAGGTTGCGAAAGAGTCATGGCGTCGGGAGTCTGGGATCGACGGCGCCTGAGATCCGGGCGTCGCAACTGTTTCCCACCGGGCGTTTTCGCGCACGCTGGGGGCCCCGGGGCCATCACAGATAGATCTGGCTCGAGAAATGCCGCAAGAGGATAACGGTCTGGGGCTCTGGCCTTGATGTCTTGCGGTGTCACCTTTGCTTCGCAGCGTCGGATCTCCGGGCTCTGGTAGCCATCGAAGTCTACGATCGGGAACTCTTGCTTCGAGTGTCGCGGCGGCGACCCTGGCGACACGCCGTGCCTTTCGAGCAGATGCCGTGTCGCTCTGCTCCACGGGGGACGTTGCCGCCTGGGGGCTAGGACGTGGCTAGCGGGTCGCGCCGAAACGTGGGGAGCCAGCACTGCCAGAGCGACACGCTAAGCAAGCATGTCTGACTGTCAGGCCGCCGAGGATTGCCGGGTGGAGGCCCTGGGGCCGCCAGATCAGCAGATTTGAGACCCAAAGAAAGAATGCAAGGAGCAACCAACAAGGAGAGAACAGCCGCCTGACGCCTCTGATCTGACGGCGTTTGGCGGTTCTTCTCCGCGGTCTGCGAGGGCTTCCTAAGTTCACGGCCGATAGCGTCCGCTGCAGCTGACCCGCACCACATCCTACTGACGGAAGGCTTGGTTTCACCGATCTGGCGACGCTCTGGGACCTCTGGTACACTTCCCATGACGCACTGCCCCGCCCTCCACGAAGTCTACACAACGGCTGCGGACCACCTCCCCTGGCGAGCGAAGCCGCACCCCACTCCCTCAGATGGAATGCAGAGGAACATACTAGTGCGACGTGCTCCCCTTGGAGGCTCACGTCCGACCGGCGGCACACATGGTGCAAACACCTCGTGGCGTATTGCCATCCAAGCGGTATGGCCAGAAAGCGCCCGCAGCGGAGGCTATACTGTATCAATGCTACATGTTCAAATGTGCCCGTCGCCACAGCGAGAACGACCCACAAATAGTACTGGCATGTCTGCATGACGCCCTCGGTAGGACGCTAAGTGGCTATCCACAGTCACCGATCCTGGCCACCCAGAGCGGGCCTCGCCAGGATCGGTGTGGGTGCAGCGTTAACGCCCAAAGCCAACGAAACACCCTCTGAACACCTTCAGCTCTTCGTAAGGGTGGCCAGTTCCCGCTTCTCTCAGGACAGGCGGTCTGGGCTGGCGACGCTGGCGGCTCTGAGAGCCACATCGGCAGCAAACTGTTTGCCTGCCCCGATGCCAGCTCCGTCGACGAGGACACTCCTGCTGCCAGTCATTAGGGGGCCACATGCGAACCCTTCCCTCCCCCTCAGAAATCGTGGGGGGTAGGGGTAGGGTTCGCATGTGGCCCCCGAGTCATGCTCGTTCGGCCGCCCTCTACGTGAGGGTGCCCTCTGTCAAAGGCGCTCTCGGCTGCACCCCGCTCCGGGGGAGCGCTCTCCCAGAGGTCGCCCCATGCAGACCGCTTCGGTCGCCCTGGGAGGGGCGGCTCCGCACGGGCCCAGCGCCCGGAGGGCCCCCTCCGCAGAGGGCCTCACCGTCTCTGCGCCGCCTGCACCTGCTCTCGCGGCGCCGCGCACCCCGCGGGGAGTGTTCGAACCTCCAGTCATGGTCCTATTCTTGGCGAGTGCGTGCGACTCCGAGCCCTGCGATGCCGAAGCCGCTGACACGCTGAGCAGCACAGGGGCGTACACGCCAAGTCCCACCAGCAATTTGGGCGAGAGGTGGTCTAAGGAGGGTCTCTTCCCTCTTCCACAACCCCTCTTCCCTTCGGGGAGGGGAACCCTATCCCTCCCCTCCCTGAGGTTTTTGAGGAGGGGGTCGCAACGAGTTAGAGCGTACTTTTTCGGCCCCTGGGAGGGCCAATGTTTGACACCCCTCACGAGGATCGTGGCCCCCGAGCGGGGGACGAAGATAAGGGAACCCCGACCGCCTCCAAGATGGCCCCAAGAGGCCCTTCAGGGCTCCCAAGAGACCACCAAGAGGGCCCAGAGAGCGCCCCAAGAAGCCCAAAGAGGCCACCAAGAGGCACCCGAGAGGCCCCCAAGAGGCCCCCGAGCGGCCTCAGAGAGCCCAAGATGACCTCCAAGATGGCCCAGATAGCCCAAGCTGGCTCAAAATGGCTCCCAAAATGCTCCAAACGGCCCCAAGACCGCTCCAACACGGCTCGAGATTGCCACGGGGCCTCCCAAGCTTCCCTCGCTGTTTGACTATGCGTGCCTCTTCCTCTCTCCCCCCGTCAGCTCTCATGGGCCTCGTTTCTGGATGGGCGGTTGGTGGGGATACTTTTTTGATCGCGACCGTGGCGACACATCGCACGGCGTCAAGTCAACCCGCAGCTAACGAGCAGCGGGCTAAATCAGAAAGGCTGGTGGGGATACTTTTTGGTCAACGGCCTCGTGAAGCGGGTCAAAAAGCCGTCCAAACTCTAGCCGGGCCACGACTAGGCAGCGGAAAGCGGAAAAGCGGAAAAGCAAGACAGGCGCAGCTAACGGGCGGCAGCTCAGAAGGACGAAAAGAGACCCATTCCCGGTGGCGTCCGAAAATCCTGGTGGCTACCAGGGTGCTTTGGAACGGCTCAGGATTGTCAGGGCGCATCAGTTGCTTTGGTTCGCGATGCTGAAGTCCCAGGAATGGTGTTCCGGCACGGTTCAGGATCGTCAGCGTCAGAACGCAACATCGTTGATGAGTCTTAGGTTTACACTGGTCCTCCTCCTCCTCCTCCTGCTCCTCCTCCTCCTCCTCCTTGCCTAGCATCCTCTCCCTCCTCCGATCCCACGACGGCCACGCCGACCACGCCCACGACCACTACCACCACCACCACGACCATGACGACCACAACGGCCATGACGGCGACGACGACCCAGCTCTCGTTTGCCGCCGCCGGCGCTCGCGCTCCCCCCCCCCCCCTGCGCACGCCGGGGCGCCGCCGGCGCAGGTCTCGCCGCGCCGCCGCCGCGGGCCTCCGCCGAGGCCTCCGGCCGCAGGCCGCCGAGGCGGGGCGGCCGCTGCGCCGCGCTGGCGCCCAGGGGGCGGCGGCCGCCGGGTGCGGGCGCCCACGGCGCCGAGGGCGGCGGGCGAAGGCGGCGGGCGAGGGCGCCGAGGGCGCGCCGCCGGGCGGCCCTCAGGAGGTCTCCGTCGAGGTGCCCGAGCAGGGCGGCGGCCCGAGGTAGCCGTCGAGGTGCGCGAGGTCGCCGTCGAGGGCCGGGTCCTGCGAGGGCCCCGGCATCCAGCGCCGCTGCGACGTGCTCGAAGCGTGGCCCCCCCCCCCCGGGCCTGCCCAGCCCTTCCGAAGGTGAGGCGCACGTCCATCCCAGCGTTTGTCCCTCGACTTCGGCCCCTGGGGCTCGCCTTCGGGGCCCGGGGCCTGCAAAAGGCCCCAGGAAGCGGTCGGGGTTTTTTGATTCCTCTCGACGCGTGGGCCTCGTCGGCTTCTGGACTGGGCCTTTCGGGTCAGACTTCTGGGAAGCCGGCAGGGCTCAGGTAAGGCTCGCAAGAGGTCGCAGATCGACCCCCTCCCCAGGGCCAGCGTTTCATCCCGACTCGTTTGTTGGCGGCCCCAGGCCCGGAACCACCCTCCAGAGGGCCAGCAAGCGTGACAGGCGTGCTCGGGGCGCCCGATGTCTGGATGGCGGGCTCGGGGTGAGCGGGCCGAGGTGGGAGGAGGAGGGCCACGCCCGTCGTGATATCTTCTCGCGACGCCCGGATGCCAGCGTCCGTGCCCCGTGCCCGTCTCGAGCGAGCCCCTGGGCCCCTTCCCGGGCACCGCCCCGGCCCCCTTCCGAGCCGCGCCCGGGCCGCGGCCGGCGCGAGGGGTCCCCGGGGGCCAGAAGGCTGCGCTCTGCCCGAGGCGCCCGAGGTCTGGGCCTCTCGGGCTTCCAGCCTCGAGCCTCGAACGACCACGCCGAGGGGGAGCGCTGGGGGGGGAGGGTGGCTCGGGGGGGGCCCGTCGACCTGGAATCGGCGGCGACACGCTGCCGCTGGATCTGTAGAAGTGCGCGTACAGATTCCAGAAGCAAGGATATATAGCTAGACATGTGCACACGCACACATACATATGCATAGGCATGCATGCATGCATGCATGCAGACAGGCAGGCAGACATACAGACAGACATGTGTGGAATGTAAATTGTATACGCATAGTGTATAGCGTATAACGCTGAAATCCACCGTATTCCATACACATGTTCACACAGCTACATGAATACATGTGTATATATACATGTACATGTATATATGCATGTATAAATAGATGTGTATAAATATATATACACATGTAGATGCAAATGGATCCGTATGTGTATGTGGTTGTGTACATGCTTATGTATGTGTAACTGCATGTGTAAATGTATATGCAGATGTGTATGTATATAGCCGCCACCGTGCCGCTGGGCACGGAGTGGGCGTGCCCTCAGGTCAGTTGCCGAATCCTCGAAGCCTCCGTCCTAACGCCTGAGGAGTCTTTCAGGGGCCCACACCCAAAATTGCCAAACCCGATTGGGTTTGGCGCGGCTTGTCGGGGGCCTGGCGAGGCTTATCGCGTGACTTGTTCGGGCCCAAGAGGGCTCCAAGACGGTCCAAGAAGACCTCGAGCGGCTATTCTGACGGCCAAATAGAGCCCCGAAACGCCCAAAGATCGCTCCAATACGCCCAAAATTGTCTCAACACGGCCCAAGAAGTCTCCAAGGCGCCGCAAGAGGCCTCCAAGAGGCTCCCCAAGGGGGCTCCAAAAAGGAATATGGATTGATTGTCCTCAAGTTGTTGATAGAGTTTGGGGTTCTCGTCTTTTCGGCTTCCCGACACACTCCAAGACGGCCCAAGAGGCCCCAAAAATCGCCCCAATACAGCTCAGAAGGCCTCCAAGAGGGCCCCAAAACGGCCAAAGAGGGCCCCAAGACGGCCCAAGAGGCGCCCAAGACGACCCAAGAGACCCCAAAGACTGCTCCAAGAGGGGGCTCAGATGGGGAACCCAAACGGGCATTTCGAGTCCTCGGACACGAGGGGCCCCCAGGAGGCCCCAAGATGCCCCCAAGAGGCTCCCAAGAGGCCCCAAGCAGCCCCCAAGAGGCCTCAAGAGGCCTCAAGAGGCCCAGAGGCCCCCAAGACGCTACCGAGAGGCGACAAAAATGCCCCACAAAAAGCATCCCTGAGAACTCTGACCCACAACCCAGGCAGGGTGGCGGGATGGGCAGAAGACCATAAGATATATGAGTACGCATGTGTATGTGTATATGTGCATGTGTATGAAGCTGCGTATGTGTCTATGCACATGTATGTGAATACGTGGATGCGCGTGTCTAGGTATGGGTATATGTATAGGCACAAGTATTGGTAGTGGAAGATGTACGTGTCACTGCATGTGCCGATGCATGCACATTTCCGTACAGCTATACGTATGCGTAGGTGTGTGTATGCGGACATGTGTACTGCTGTGTGTATGCGTATAAGTATGTAGGTGTAATTGCATATGGTATGTGCACGTATGTGAATATGCATATGTAGCTGCAAACGCATATGCATAAGGGCATGTGTATGTGCATGTATGTGTATGTGTGAACGAGTGTGGAAAAGACTATGCAAGCCTAAATGAATACGTAGCTGTACAAAAACATGGATGAGCATATGTGTATGTATGTATGTATGCATGCATGCATACATGAATGTATGTGTGTGTATGTATGTATGTATGTACGTACGTACGTACGTATGTATGTATGTAGGTAGGTAGGTAGGTAGGTAGGTATGTATGTATGTGTACATGCATGCATGCATGCATGTGTGTATGTATGTACGTACGTATGTATGTATGTGTGTATGTATGTATGTATGTATGTATGCATGTATGTGTGTATGTATGTATGTATGTATGTATGTGTGTATGTATGTGTGTATGTATGTATGTATGTATGTATGTATGTATGTATGTATGTATGTATGTATGTATGTGTATGTTTGTGTATGTGTGTGTATGTGTGTATGTATGTGTGTATGTATGTATGTATGTATGTATGTATGTATGTATGTATGTATGTATGTATGTGTGCGTACACGTCCAGATGCATATGTGCATGTGTATATGTCTACTGATGTTTATATACCAAATTTTATGTGTATGCAGCAAAGCATGTATATGTGCATGGGTTCCGCCTCTCTGACGCCGTTGACCAGCGGCCTTCCCCAGCTTCTTCTGTTTCTCTTCACCCTCTGACTACTGGGCGCTGGACGCCATGGCGGCGCGCCTGGCCGCAACGACTTCCAGTGTGGAAATGTATGTGTCAATGTGTATGCGTACGTACATGTAATTGTCCTTATATGTGTGCGTACTTGTGTGCGCATGTATTTACGCGTGTATGTGTATGCAGATGTGCCCCTGTATACTTACATGTATATAACTGTATGTTTAAATGTATGCTATACGTGTATGTAAATGATGAAGTGAGTATGTGAAGTACGGGCTAAAATGTGTAGCGCTGAGGTGCAATGAGCTCGTGCTACAAACATGCTGTATAGCCTTTGGGGGGGTCATTCGCAGCGATGAAGGCCGAAGTGGCCAAGGCGTGCGGTGGCCACCCAGGTAAGTGATGTTCTAGGCCACATACGGACGGCTCCTGCGCCAGAGGCAGAGCCTGCCATGTCCGAGGGCGTCATGCGCTGGCTCGCGCCGAGGGCGCTCACTGAAGTAGGCGTGCCGGTGGGGCTCCGCTCGGTGCGTGCAGAGACTGGGCGCGAAGCCCCGGCACGCTGCCCAGGTGCGGCTGCCGGCGGATCGCCAGCTGGCGGAGCGAGGCCAGCGACCGCGAGAGCGAAGCGGAAGCATGGAAGGCTCGGCTGGCCTCGCTCTCTCTGGCATCGGCTGGGGCACAGGAGCTGCAGACGGCTCAGCGGCGGCGGGAGCCGCCGCCGCCTCCGCCGCCCAGGGCCCCCCGCCGCCCGGGCCGCCCGCGGCCGCGGGCCCGGCGGCGTCCCCTCGGGCTGTGGACCACCGCGTGGGCGCCTTCCGCGCCTTGGCCGCGGGCCTGCGCGACAGCGGGGCGGGGTCCTGAACCGGCGGAGGCCCCGCTGGGGCGGGGGCGCTGGCCGCGGCCCTCCCCGGCCCTGTGGCGGGCGTGGCCCGCCCTGGCCCTCGAGGCGAGCGCCCGAGGGCCCGGCGGTCCTGGCCAGCAGGCGGGCGTGACCGCGGCGAGGCGCGCCGCGGCGGTGAGGGAGCTCTTGCTGCAGAGGGGCAGCTCGTCGAGTGCGAACCCGCGGTGGGCAGTGCACTTCTGGCAAGGAACTGCACAGACGGAGGCGGCGGGGACGCCGGACCCTGCGGCGCGCGCCGCCCTGGCCGCCTGTGGGTACATCGGCGCCGACACGAAATCCCCGCCTGACATCAAGGCCTTGGAGGTGCTCCAGGGGCTCGACCTCAGCGACGGCGTGTTCGCCGGCGCCTTCGGCGCTCCCGCGTCATCAAGAGGACAAAATATACATGCTTGGGCCCACACGTTGCCGCTCGACTTCAAGTGAGCAGGCGTTCAGATCTACAGGAACATTCGAGTAGCGGGCAGTACCAGTGTCTAACACTGGTTGCAGCAGCAGTTTCCAAGTTGTCGGGGAGGGAATAAGTGGCAAGCCCTGTGGAGTACGGCCGCTACGCTGGACTTCGAGTTGGGCAAATGCTCGGCGGATGCGGAGCTGATGGTGGTGCTGGCCAGCAACGACAACGTAGAGATCGGGCTCCGTCGCTTGTCCGCATGAGTGTCCTGGTCTCGGACGCACGACAAGATAGGGGCCGCTGGGCTCAGGGCGGTGACGGCCCCGGCCAGCGGGGTGGACATAGCCCCGACGTGGCTGATCAGCGAGGCCACTCGACCCGAGCAGCGGCAGTGGAGTAAACAAAGGGAAATGGGGTGGATAGCCAAGCGCGAGGGCCACAGTGACGAGGTGAAGCCAGGATCATCATCGACCTTTCCTTCACTCTCGGATATCACCAATGCTCTTGGTGCCAACGACGCAGTTCTACAAGTGGCGCCCCTGCATCGGCCAGGCCAGATTGCGACGCGCTTGGGCAGAAGTAGGCAACGTCTGCATCTTAAGCAGCAGGTTCGGACCACGGCGAACCATACATTCAGGGCCCTCAACGCCACCTACTTGGACACTATAAAGCAAATCACACTCGAGCAGTAGAAGTTCAAGTTCGAGGTGATGGGGAATTCTTCTGTTGGGCTGG